AGAAGAAGATTCTATTATATCTAATCATACTTTATTAGAAAGAATGCCTGTATTTGTGTAATGTACAAGTTGTACAAAGAGAATACAAAACTGATAAAGTGGCATAGACCCATAATAAGTCCTTGAAATTGTATTAATCTGATGAATAGCATTAGGAAAGTATACTTAGCAAAACCCAAGTAGAAATATAGCACAAGTTTTTGACAGTAGCTATTAAAATAAGTTCTATCTGAGGCTGATGAACCAGACAAAGCAAGAGTATCAGCAAGTTACTCTACTAACCAGGCTGTCAGGTTGATCAGAAGAAAGAACTGGTATTTCTTCTGAGCTATCTAAATTGATAGTTTGAAAAGACTAGCTAGAAATACTGAAAGGAAAGGTACTGGTGTTGTTTGAAAGAAAAGTACTGGAGTTTGGGTGAACTTTGCAAAGGCCAGAGGGTTTGGCAGTATGGCCTGTCTATAAAGGCTTAAAGCCTATTTGGTAAACTTATCTGTGAAAAGAATTAGTAGTATGGCCTGCCCGTAAAGGTATAAAATCTATCTAGCAAAACTTATCTAAAAAAAGACTGGGTAATACAGTAATAGTGAGTACTAGACTACTCTAGCAGGTGATGTACTTGAGGATGAATTAGTTAAATACCGATAGTCCTATAGATGAATACAATGATCTTAAAACTTGAACTGACTAATGTATCGCATGTTCTGGGTAAGATTAGATTTGTATAGGAAACTCTAATTAGAGGGTTTAATTAGATAATCCAAATAATAGTGGATTATAGATATAGTATCTAGAGTAGAACCTAGTAATAGATAAACTACTTAATTAGATGCTCAAAAGGCACAGATATAGCTAGAATGTATCTTCGTTAGAATGTACTTGTCTGGAGCTTCCTTGAAAAGAACACTATATAATTCTATAATCTAATAAAAAGTGTGAAGCCAAAGAGGCTAATCTTGATTACAAAAAATAATAATTTTATAATAATTGCAAAAGACAATATTAGTAAAATTATATTTATTAATTGATTTTTAGAGCACTACTAGGATAGTTAAATATGTAAAATATATTTTATCATATTTAAAACAGCCTGAAAATATATTAATTTATTTTTTTATTCATTTAATAATATGTATTTACTGTATAGGTCTGAATATAAGCAACTTTCTAAGCCACCCATTTTAGCCAAATTTTTTAGAGAATTTCAGTAACTTTTAAAATACTTGATTTCTATTGGCCTATTTATTTACTTATAAATAACTAGCAAACTTACAGTAAAAAATATGCAAATAAACTTTTATAACACTATCAATTGTTTTTTAAAAAAAAGCACTTTAAATACCAGTACTTTTAAATCTACAAATCTGGGTCATATCAGTTATGTTGATAGAATAAATTATGTTGGTCTTTGTTATTAACATGGGATTAAAGTAAAAAGAATGAATAATCTTAAATTTATTATAAATTTGGTATATAAAATACTGTATATAAATTTTTAAAAAAATTTATCAATCTGTTATCAACAAAATGATTATAATAAGTAAGTGGTAAAATTCAAAACATCTTTATTTTACTATTAAGTATTTGAATTTTATATAGCTAGCTTTATAAACTGCCTACTACTAGTATTTAGCTTTATTGTCCACTACTATTTACTAATTTCAATACTTATTTATTTCTAAAAATTCACCATTCAGAACTATTTATTGTTGAGAATTTATTATTTTTTTAGAAGTATTTACGCTTAGTACTTACTACTTACTATATATCTAGAATTATTACAATTTAGCTAATTATTAATACTTACTAATACTTTAAACTGCTATAGTACATAGTATGTAAACTTAATACTAAAATTACAAGAAAAAATTTTAATATTTTATATTAAATTAAAATATTTACGGACATAATAAATTTAGGTGTTACTTATCTTAAATATAAATAATATATTGTCTACATATAAGATTTTTTTTTAAAAAAAAAATCAAACTTATAATCGATTTATAATTATTATGCTTCTAAAATGATATACATTAATGTTATATATATTACACTACATTTCATACAAATTTTTTTATAATAAAGAAATCAGAATTTATACTTTTTCATATCAGATAGTTTGCTGAAATCTTTATTAATATAAAAAAAAAAAAAACAAAAAACAAAGAATAAACAAAAAAAATGAATACTATTATTAGTTCCAATAAGGTAATAAGATAGTTAAAGTTAAAAGTCATATTTAAAAAACTTCATATAAAGCATTTGAAAAACTTATCATAATTTAAGAAGTAGAAAAAATTGGTGTTTTGGCTGCAGCGCATTGCTTTGGTATTGACTAGTTAATAGTATTACAATGAACATGTAATAAAGAGAAATATATTAATACTGTACTTCAGCAAGTAACCAATATATAGGTGCTAAAAGAATTTTACTTTACCCAGCTACTAAAAAAGAACTTTTTAAATGGTTGAATGATATTTACCAAACTGAAATTGCTGTGATAGTAGCTACTATCAAAATGCAAATAGTTAATATTCTTTCAACAACTTGTATAAACAAATATCTGGATGCTGCTAAACAATTTCATACATTAAAATCTTGGTTTTATCAGTTTTTAAACTGACAACAACTTTCATTCTACCATTGTACTAAAATTAGTTAGAAGCTACCTGAAGATCTTACTGGAAACATCCTTGAATTTCATAAATTTATAATTAGATCTTGATTAGAATATCAGTATGATCTTACTCAAATTATTAATATGAATGAAATATCAGTTTATTTTAACATGGCAGGTTCTTATACAATTAATGCAAAGGGTGCTAAAACTATTCAAATTAAAACAACTAATAATGATAAAAACCAGTTTACTTGTGTTCTAACAATTATAGCAAGTAATGACAAGTTTTCCTGATGATAATTTTTAAAAGTATACAAATTCCTCCCAATCTTCTTAATAAAATTATTGTATGTATATATAAAAAACTTGGATGGATAAAAGCTTAATGTGTAAATGGATAAACCAAGTTTTAAACAAGCAACCTGGTGTATCAAGAACAAACAAACCTTTATCTTTGAAGAACACAAAATCCAAATAGGATATCAAAAATATCAAGTTAATAATATCCACAAAGCTATTATTCCAGGAGGTTTAACGTCAATTATACAATCTTTAAATGTGTGTATTAATAAACCATTTAAAGATAGGCTAAGAGAAAAATGACGATTATGGATGTGCAATGGTGAATTTCAATCAACCAAGAATGAAAATTTAAAAAAACCATCATATAGTTTAATTTGTCAGTGGATTTTAGAAACATGGAATGACATTCCTGTAGAAATGATTATTAAATCATTTAAAAAATGTGGTATTTCTAATAAATTAGATGGTACTAAGGATGATTTATTATATGATTCGGATACTGATCATAATGAAGTAAATGATAATGACGATTTAATTGAGATAGTTGAGGAGGATAGTTTATCTGCTGAAGAATTAGAGTTAGAAGATTAAAGATAGTTTTTTTGTAATATGTAATAAAATTTATATACTAGTATAATAAATTTTATCATATATAGTTTTTGCAATTTTAAAAGGAGTTGCTTATTTTATTTTTCTAGTATTTTGATTTCTAAATGCAAGGTATTGCTTATTTTCGGGGGTTGCTTATATTCGGACCTATACGGTATATACAGTATATATCATATATATCTCAAATATCAATTTATTTCAAATGTCAAATTGGCTTAAACTATCAATCTGTAAACTTAATTTAGGCCGGAATCCCAATTGACAATTGGAACGAATTAACATTTGGGCACAACATATACACAGCTCTCTTGGTATTATATACAGAACTTACCGTTTCTATTAGTAAGTAGTCTTAAAGGTTTAGTTCGAATATGTGATGTATTAAATTATAACAAGTATCAGTATCTTGTATAAACTTGAATCAATACTATTAATTAAAATAAATGACAGTAAAATAGAATAATGAACTTTTTCAAAAGATTTACTATGAAATCGGAAATATTAACTTGTTATTAAAACTCAAGGCACTATCCGAATAAATCAAATATTTCGAAAATTTAATACCTGACAGTAGAGTTGTTAATGGGATGGCATACTCCGGAGCAGCTCCGGAGTGAACCCAACCCAAGTTGGAGTGGGTTAAAATATGCAGGAGTAAAACTGGAGTAAACTGGAGCAGCTATAAGCAAATCTGGAGTGGCTTCAACCCAAGTTGGAGTGGAATGAAGAATAGTTACTACCATTAATCTTAACAAAATTACCTTAGAGGGTCTAAATTGATTTTTTGTTAAAGAGGTTGAAAGTAAGAGATTCCGAGTGATTTAGGCATATGTCGAAAACATGAATGAATGTAATCTCTTCAGTATCTCAATAGAATCATATCATAAAGTGCCAAACTTGCATTTAGAGAAATTAATACTTAGAGTAAATACTTTGAGAATTTTCATACGTACTGTACGTACGTTCATACCTAACTAACAATTGTATTATATCATGTGATGAGAAGACATGTGCATTGGCTGTTTCTTCGGACAAATTAATGAGAAATTTTGTTTTTAAATATCAACAAAAATCATTTTAATGTTTGTTTTCTATATTATTATCTAGATATGTTAGGTTTTTTTTGCATTATCGGAGTAGTAATACCAGTCATGACATACATATAAAGAAATTTAGAGTTTTAATTGTTATGATTTCTAAATATATATAATTCATTATAGGAAAAAAAACCACCCAAATAAACAAAATTAGACAAACGGAATAGTTAAGACAATGATAAAAACCGATACGTATAATAATACGGACAATGATAAAACCGATATAATAATAATACGTAAAATGGTGGTTATTCGCGTAAAAACATAGCATGTGACAAACGCGAATGAAGCCCTTTTTTTGAAAAAAGTTCTTTAATTATATTGAAGGCATTGATCTCATGACAGTATCTTAAATGCACGATTCTTTAATAGTTTCTTTTAAGATTTTGTCAGGACGGAGTTTAAAGTTCGAGTATGTCACTGCCGCAGCATCTTGCAAACAAACCGATCTTTCAGAATTATATCAATCATAGCCCTGAAGAATCTGAAGAGTTTGAAGAGTTTGAAGAGTCTGAAATGTAGTTATTTTAATCCAATTTGTCACATGCCCTGAAACTTCACTTCGATTTGAAGTGATAGTTTAGACAATTATATGCTGCGACAATGACGCATTCGAAGTGCTGCCATGACGAAGTACTTAAAAGTTCAGACGGATGATAATATTAAAACATAATGTTTGTGCTCGTGTTCGTACGATAACTAAATAGTAACATACTTGGCACTTGCAAAACTTTAATGTGACGCCTCGCGTGATTACATCTTCACAAAAGTGGATAATCAGTAAGTTTATCGCGTATATCTTAAAGATATAATCAAAGGAATTCAAATCTCCGCGAAAATTTCAGAATCCCCTTAATAGTGTTTGATATTTTTAAAAATGGAAATCAATGATTCCAACTTTGCACTCGAAGGCCATACAATACGATGCGTATATCTTGTCATAAGTTTGATCACGAGAGTTTCGAAAAAGAACTCGAAGAAGAAGAAATTTCAAAATCTTAACCTCGTGATCGGTGTGATGTAATGTGTACGCACAAATCTTGTTTACCAATTTATTACCATTGTTAAACATTTACCAAATTTGTCTAGTTATGAGATAGCTTGTACGTGCGATCTTTGAAGCTAGGCGCTTTGTACTACGGTCAATATTGACTAATAAGAAGGGTTGTCCGGATTTTGATCCCATAGCCCGACTCAGTCACAAAGGACAGTTTAGGAAATGATCGCTGATCTTCCTAAGCATAATGCTATCATATTGTATTTTACTACATAATAATGCAGATAATGCAACCAATCAAGTCGGTTCACGAAAAAGAAAGAAAAAGACGGTCTAATTTGTTAAGAACTTCAAATGTCTCATGTAATTGGGATTAGTATTTGTGTTTCAGTCTTTCATTTCTAAATTCATGTGAATACGTATATAATTTTGGAGACTGGGTAATCCAATTCCAAAGATGGAAATGTTTTAGCAAATTGAATTAACGCGAAAAAGAAAGACTTGGCATGCAAAAAATGTGACCAAGGTATCAAACAAAGACACACATGTAATTATAAGAATCGAATCGTATGATGGTCATTAAAGAGTTACATAGATTGAATTATATAGATTGTTAAGTAATATAGACACAATCAATATGAGAGTAGTATTATATGAGCATAGTATTGTACGTAAAACTCTAGTTGTATCAAGAAAGAATTACGCGATCATATTATGAAATTATATAGAAAAAAAAGATTTTTTTTTTCATATCCATATTTAATTTTGACATTAACTAATTATGATCCTACATAAGTGCGGTATATAATGTGATCAATCACTCATGCACATATAACGTGTATCTTATGTATTTTATTACGAATTTATAAGCAATTAACATTAAATTTCGCACAGTTCACATTTATAGTAAATGATACTAATCAAATAACCAGAAGCCTTGCAGATTCACCTACCTACGTATGTATGTACCCAAGTCATTTTCAGTAATTTTATTAGGTAAAAGATGAATGCACTGACCGGGGGTTTGATCATCAACGATAATCTCATTCATTATGTAACACAAATTTTCATCATGTAATTTTCATGTAATTTCTGTTGGTTACATAATAGTCAGGTGTTTGCACATAATAATTACAAATAAAAACATGACCAATAAGAAACGCAAAAAAGTTGATACTAGGCAGTCCAAAAACTGGTGGGTCAGTTTTTAAGACTAGTCTATAACTGAACCGGTCTAGACATGATTAAAATTGCTTAATAAAATACAGAACTAAGTCAAAATAGAACCGATTGGACCAGATCAGACTGTTAACATCTGCGTACGTGTACGTAGTATACGGTTTTTTTCATGTTCATAATAAAATTGGGTTATTAGTAATATCGGAACTTAGATAAAAGTAATACAAATAGGTCATCCGAAATGGTATATGCACACATTTTTATCAGTTGGATATAAATTTGTTTCAGAAAACGCATAGTGATCTCGTTCCTTTCATAGCAATCCACACGATTGGTTTGGCTAAAAAATCATGAGATTTCTTATGTGTCGCATAGTCACGTTCACTTTGTGTAATTATTGGCAGTTACAAAAAGATAATCATTTGTTATTCCGAAGACGTATATAAATCTACTACATAATGATAAGCTTATAATTTAGATCACCTGATTTTCGATATTAATTGTATTAAGAATAATGGAATTCATAATCATAGTTATATATGTTATATATTAATATATTAGTTATATACCATATAATTATAATTATAATTATAATTATATAATATCTGATATATATTATATAATATTATACAATATTATATAAGATTGAATATAATAATAATTACTAATAATTAATTGTTAATACCAAGCTTTAATATACTTTAATATACTTTAATATACTTTAATATACTTTAAATATATTTTAAATATATTTGAAGACCACTTTATTAATTTCTGATAGCGTTTTTTTACAAACTAGTTTATCTATCTTCTCAAATATTCTTTAAACCTTACATAAACCTTAAAAATCTTAAAAAGAACACGAGAAAAGAAAAGCTATGTACAAGTAAAAAAAATCTTAATACATAATATAGACTACACGGATAATTGCATAATAATGTTCTAATTGTTTACATATATCATGATTAGCCAGCCCCCAATAGCCAAAATTGCCGAGTGTATCACGAATTATTGTATTTTTACGCGTAACTATATGACGTATCATTGCAATAAAAACCAAAAATTTCGTAATTCGCATTATCATTAATAAAATTTGTGCCAATTTCGTCATTATCATGGTGCATTACACCATAACCATTAGTTTGAATAAACGGAGTGTTTGTGATTGTTTGATTTATTGAAAACGAAGAAGTAATGCCATTTTCATTATGAAATGAATTATTTAAAAATTGTAAATCCGATTCATTTACATTTAAAAGCGTTTGCCCTTGCGTAAATACTGTATTAAATTCAGATAATTCAGATAATTCATATTCAGATAATTCATTGGCAATGTCATAGTGAAAGTTTATTTCTTGAACAGTATTGGGTACATTGGGTACAGTAGTAAAAATATTCGAACTAGTCGATGTGTTTACAATTGGTAAATTTGGTAAATTTTGTAGATCTGGTGATGTTTGGTTATCAAATGCATTATTAACATTAAAGTCGATTTTGTCATTAAATGCATTATTGGCATTAAAGTCTGTTTTTGCTAAATATTTTTCGTATAACGATGTAGATAAATTGGGATTCGAAGTCGAAGGATTGTTTGTATACATAGGTAACGTATTCGAATATGAAAGTTCGGGTATGAAATTTGTGTCAAAAATAACAGGGCTAGTATCTTTAATAGTTTCGATATTCCTATTAATTTTTACGTCTTTAATGTTTTTTGCATTATTCTTAACATTTTTGCGTCTCCTGTCATTTTTATTCGGTGGAGGTGCCGGAGGATCGAAACTCACAATGTTCCATCTATCTTTTCTCTTTCTTCTCCCAGATTTAGGATACATTTCATTACGAACCCTCAACGCTTCTTTAGCAATTCGTCGGTATTCAGCTTTAACAATTTCGTCTGCAGATTCCCAACTTTGTGATGCCATAGCGGATACAATAGTCATGGGTAAAAAATGTCCCTTCTCGCGTGCTGTTTCTACATAAACCTTTCGATAGATGATGAATGCGTTTGGCGCTCGGGAAGGAATTCTGCCATCAGGCGATTTTTTAGAAATTAACTCAATCATGTCTATAGTAGGTGGGAACTTGGGCGCAATAAGTATATGTTGGTCCTGCTTAGGCTGAGAAGACATGGTGTCTAATAGCGGCATAGTTGTTAAACTATTTGTTGAGTTTTCGTCTTGTGTTACGAGCATTTCGATTTAATATCTAAAGACTAGTTAATATCTAAAGACGATTTAATATCTAAAGACGATTTAATATCTAAAGTCGATTTAGTAGCTAAAGACAATTTAGTACTAATGGCCAAGACTTGAAGAGGACAGAAATCACGATCGCGCGGTAAGGCGTACTTAAATAAAAAATTCTTGTGCCACAAAAGATCGGGTAACTTCTTTTATGACGTCATTATCGATGACATTATAAAATCAAATTGGTTAAGCGGATTATTTAATTTTAGAATTTAGAATCTAACGTTTAAAAAAACTCCGACTGCATGACAGATCAGGGAAACACAGATAATGCAATTATATATTTCGAATTTGACTTTAAAAATTCCAATAATGAATACTACTTTTATGTCAATATAATATATTGTTTTACTTATTTACACTCTTTAGGGTTTAATGTAACACATCTAAATAATTAAATAATGAAATGTCAGTTGTAAAAAAATCCGTATTTACAATGATTAAAGACATAGCAAATATTTATTATTACGTATATAGATAAAGTCTGCAGGTCGGACGTTACTTATTGTTAAGTTATAATATAGATATAATATATCAGTGGGGGACCGGCATTATCGTTCTGCAGAATTTTGCCAAGCGTTTTTTTTTTAATATCCGGCGTTTAACTTTACGTAAGTACGTACGTACTTATGTGATCAAATAAACGTGGCCATTGGTTTAACCCCAGAAAATGTATTGGCTTGGCCAATAGGAATAATTCGAATTTTAATCACAAAGACCCTCGTAGATTGGTGCATTATTTAAACTAAAAAAGACTAAGAAATTTTTCCAAGTTTCAACTTTAGTCAGGAAACTCTTTCAAAATAAATTTCGTGCATAAGCGATGTCTAACTTGTCCATGAATAGTCTGGGTCCTTGCAGATTCATAACCTATGAATCAATTTCTGCTTATAGGTTTTTTTTTTTAAATATTTATTTAGCCATTTATTCCGTTGCGTGACTTACCAGCTGACTTTTTGTAAGGCAAGAAAAACCCTTAATTTCTAAACGAAAATTACTTTGTGATCTTCTTAATTTGTCCGACATAGATATATGTCGTTATCTTTAACTAATTTAGATTTTAAAAGGCTGAGGCTTATTTGGTTTATTTTTGACAAACTTGGTACGTAAAAGTTTCTGACCTGAGCGTACGTACGTAAATCCTTTTATTTTAATTGAAATGGTCTCCGTATTAGGGCAGTAAATTAAACTAATTAACATCTGCAAATGTTAATACCCAACCTGGATGTATAACAATCAAATCCAGGTTTAATAATATATCCGGATATAACAATAAGTATAACGAAATGTATATCCTGGTGCGTACGTTATGTAATACGTATTCACTCAAATTCGGAAACATTAATTAATCCGGACATTATTAAGCTTAACTTCGGTTCAATAAGTATCAATATATTACATGTTACTCAAAGTAACAATTAATTGTGTCTCGTCATGAGTCGGGTACAACTTATGCCGTAAAGTCATAGGTACGTACGTACGTACGTACGTACGAGAGGTTTCACTGTGTAAAAGCAATGTACCCTCGTCGGCCGTAAAACTCCGGATACCTTACCCACGTGCCCGGTATGTATTATGGTCACAAATTTATTACGGTACTACGTACCGGTACGGCACGTATTAAAATGTACCATTTTAAGAATATAATTTTATTATAATTTATCAGAAAAAACAGTCATATGATAATGTTAGTGAAAGGTTGATAAATTTAGTACGTATACTGTAGATATTTTTAAAATCTGACTGGAATATGTAATCTAAATAGTGGAATTGATTACACATCACTCTGGTTATCTCGACATCTGAATACACTGACATCTGGTTATAACGACATTTTTTAAAATTTTGAATTTTGAATCTATATGCTTAATATGAAAATGACTCTGGTTAAATCGACATTTGGATATATCGGAAATTTTCTTATTTTTTTGAGGTGCCAATATAACCAGAGTGACGTGTATTCATAACTCTGGTCCTATTTTGGGTTAAAATCAAAAATTAGCCGTAATGTAATCCTATAAAAAAAAATATATATTCACGATTAGATAGGGTACTCAATCAGCAATCAGCTCCTAGACCTTTATGACCTATCATAGGTCATTCGGTCATAACGAAGGTTGATATGAGTTTATTAATCCCCCACTTCACGATCGGAGTACTATCAAATTGATTAATAACCCAGGTACTCCATAATTAGTATAACCAATCAGAAGTGGAGGAGAAATTAGGAATATACATATATTGTACTGTATTTTATAAAATTTTAAAATGATACGATACAGTACGAAAATACATATATATAAAGATAATTTCGTACTGGATTGTATAGAATGTGAAGTAAAGATCAATACAGTACGAACTATGTTTGTATCGTAAATACCAAATCGCTAACCACCAACGGGTTCGACCTTTTGATCTCATTTTATTTTGACACATCTATGCAATGTAAACAGTCGACTTTCTTTATATCGAACTGTTTATAACAAATTTATTATGGAGTCGGTATAGGAGCATAGTAAATTACTTCTACAATGAACTTTTAAAAATTTGTGCTATAAGAACTGTCAGTTCATGATAGAATGTTACCTGTATACAATTTTTTTTCTTTTTATTTATACAAAAAATAAAGGTGGTCTCATATATAAAATACAAGAAAACACGATTACAACTCACTCACTATAATGAAGTCCTCAGGTTAGGAAAAAATCCATATATCAAACATATTTTACTAGATACGATTGAAATTTAAGACTCTTCATTATATAAAAATTTTATTGAAAGAAGTAAGTTGTATTTTGACAGACTGGTTTATTTCGTTATTTTACTTGTGAGTATATTTTAGAACTCTATAATTTTTTATAGCCTTATTCGAATTTTTTATCTGTGCTAATTTGATTCATGAATACAATTTGTTTATAAATCCAATTACAGTCGAAGCTTATGATAACGAACTTCTTTATAATGAACCCTAGACATAACGAACATAAAATTTTAAATTTTAAATTAGTCGAGTTTGGAAAGTATAGAATTTTTGTATATCCGACGATTTAATATTATTTGTACAATATATAATTCAAGTTTTAAAATTCATTTTATTGAAAAAATTTTTGAAATAAAATTCTGAAAAATATTATGACTTAAATTCGCTACTTTCGTTATTACACAAATTAATAAAAAAAATTTCACTTTAAAAA